AAAATCTGTGGTTTAAGCCCACCAGTCTGGAGCATTTTGTTACAGCAGCGCAGCTGACTAAGACAAGGGAGCACCTCCTGTCTGGTTCACTCTTATGTGCTCAGGACACAACATCTGCCTCTGGTCAACATTCAATAAATATCTGTGAAATCAATGAGTTTTCATCCTACAGTCCGTGATGAACCCAAGGGCAAACTTTCATAACAACATGGTACATTAATGTGCATTAGGGATACAGAGTCAGACCTGCCACCGAGTTATCCTCCCTTGAAAACCAACTAGAACAGCACTGCCCAACAGACCCTTCTGCAATGGTGGGCGTGTCCTCCATCTGCAATGTCCAGTATGGTAGCCACCAGCCACATGTGCATGCCGAGCACTTGAAGTGTGGCCAGGGTGACAGAGGAACTGAATTTTTAATTTTATTCAGTGGTAATCAATTATTATATTTCAGTAACCATGCGGCTGGTGGCTTCTGTACTAGACAGTGCAGGACTAAGTTCAAGCAAGGATCACGCCCTGGGCACTAACTTCATCCTACAGGTCTCTGACTGCCAACTGTCCCCGCACCAAGCATGTTATAAACACAGTGGATTCTCACAGAGCTGGCACAGGTAGCTTCTGAGTGGCCTGGCACAGAGAAGCTGGCAAAACACACACATAAAAGGGATAATGAAGCACCGTTTTGCAGAAATTGTGATGCTTTATGGGCCTCCGTCTGCGATGAAACCCATCAAAGGGCAGGTTCATCCCTCGGCGACCAGAGTTAATTGAAAATTTAAGATCCAATCATATCACCCAGAATTGAGATTTTTGGCAGCTTACATGCTTCACTTGTGAGTCTCCCGCCGCTTTTCGCCTCCCCCAGCCCTACAAGCGAGGCTGCATGTTCCAGTATCAAACACAAAAGCACCGAGCTCTAAGCAAGGCACAGATAGAACAACGTTGGCTCTGACCTTGATTATTTTAAAGTGCACGTGGTCCCCTTCCTGCCTAAGCCAGCAGGTGGAAGTGGACAACGCTCTTTCCCCAACTTGAAATTCATTAAAGTGTCAGATGACCACCTTCTCTATGAAAAATAGGCATGTCAAGTGCTCCTCAAAAATCTCCTATGGCCAAAACCCTATAGAAGAGGAGTACTCCTATGCGTCTCTACACTATAACACAAGTTTTCTAGCAAGAATGTTCTGACTGGTGTCAATGCCTATTTCTCTGGCACCTTGCCATTTACAAGGCACAAGAGCTCGGATGCCCGAGAGATCCATATGCAAATTCGACCCTAATCACTTCCTAGCACTGCATCTTCAGAAAGGTTACTTAACTTCTCTGAGGGTCCATTTCCTCTTCTGCAAAAAAGGAATGAGTGTCCCCATACACCTCACTGGCTTACTGTGGCGATAAGACGACATAAGAAACCACACAAAGATGAATGGTCATAGCAACTTAATTTGTAATAGCCCAAAACTGGAAATGACCCAAATGTCCATCAGCAAGTGAATGGAAAAACACACTGTGGTAAATCCATACAACAGAACACACCAAACAACATAAATGAATCTCAAAATAAGTAAGCTGAATGGAAGAAGCCAGACCAAATGACTACACACCATGATTCCATTTATAGAAAATTCTAGAAAATAAAATCAGTGATAGAAGGCAGATTACTGGCTGTCTGGGGACAGAGGGTTGGAAAAAAGGAGGGACTCCAAAGGAGCATGAGGACACTTTGGGGGCAATGGAAACGTTCTACATCTTGATGAGGTGACGGCTTCATGGGTTTGAACATTTTAAAGATGTGCAGTGTGGTATGCTTAAATAATACTTTGGCAAAGTTGAAAAGTTTAAAAAAAATGAGATCAGGGATCTAATGACCCATCACAGGACCTGGCACACAGTACGCTCTTAACAAATGTTGGCTCCACTCTAGAGCAATAATGAATGATCCCATTAGAACTTCTGGAAAAGAAACTTGACAGGCTGCCAGGGAACCACACCAGCAGGTGTACCAGTGACTTTGAAGGTGTACTAGAACCCAACTATTTAGGACACGCTGTTCTCGGCCAGAAAGCATTAACAAGAAAGATGAACAGAAAGATGGGAAAGGCTTGGTCTCTGCCCTCAAGGAAACACAAATGAGTTTAATATATGATGGAATAAAAGTGTCAGAAAGGACTTCCCTGGTGGCGCAGTGGTTGAGAGTCCGCCTGCCGATGCAGGGGACATGGGTTCGTGCCCCGGTCCAGGAGGATCCCACATGCCGCAGAGCGGCTGGGCCTGTGAGCCATGGCCGCTGAGCCTGCGCGTCCGGAGCCTGTGCTCCGCAACGGGAGAGGCCACAGCAGTGAGAGACCCACGTACCACAAAAGAAAAACAAAGCAAAACAAAACAATAAAAGGGGACCCTAAATAAATTACGGCACCCTGAGTGATTCAAGCATACAGGGGCCATTAAATCATATTTTCAGAACATATGGAACCACGAGGTGTGTGCCTCATGGTACAATGTTAAGATGCAAAAAAGCAAGATACAAAAATATACATTGAGGATTCATTCAACAAACATTATTGATTATCTATTATGTGCCAGGCACTGTTCTTTTTTTTTCTTTTTTTTAAAGCACAGACAATACAGCAAAGGATAAAATAGACACAATCCTGCTCTCATTAGAAGGGATTCCACCTTCTGAAGGAAGGAAATGAATAACAACAAGCAAAATATAAAGCATGTTGACGGCAGGATACGCTATGAGGAAAATCAAGAGGGGAAACAGATCGGGTGTCAGGGGAGGTAAAATTTTAAATAGGCAGTCAGAGAGGTTTCCCAGAGAAGGGGGTTAAGGGTTTGAACCCAGGGTATATCTGAGAAAACTTCCAGGCAGAGGGAAGCTGGTGTCTCAGGGTCGGGGAGCCACGGCAGGGTTTGGAGCAGAGGAGTGATGTGACCTGGGGGTGGTGGGATCAAGGGGAGAGAAGCAGGGAGACCAGCTAGAATTTTTCCAGTGTTTTCCTAACTTTTTTTTTAAGTCCTTATTGAATTTGTTACAATTTTTTTTTTTTTTTTTTTTTTTTATGTTTTGGTTTTTTGGCTTCGAGGCATGTGGGATCTTAGCTCCCTGACCAGGGATGGAACCCTCACCCCCGGCATTGGAGGGTGAAGTCCTAACCCCTGGACCACCAGGGAAGTCTCTCCTAACTTTTTATGATGAACATATATCCACTTTATAATCGGAAAATAAAAGGTAATTCAATCCAAACAAGCCATGTAGGTGCTGTGACTGGAGCACAAGGCAGCAGAGAAACAAACAAGGAGGTCAGGGAAATAGCTCAGGGAATGAGCGATGAATCAGTGGGGGGCAGGGGGCGGGACATATTCCTGGAAATTATTACTAAGAAAAGCAAAAGGCACAAATCACTCCTCTTAGTAATAAAAGAAATGTAACCACAATGCACAAAAATATGAAAAAGAGAAAAAGAACTCCCCCACCATCTCAGCACCCTAACAATCAATATTGACCATCTTGTTATATACTTCCTTTGGATCTTTCTTCCTACACATGCTCTGGTTTTCCCCTTGACCATCCTACAAGGCCCAGCACACTGAAAGCGCTCAAATACTCATTGAGCAAATACTGGATGACGAAATTCTCCAAATGCTTCTAGGTTCAGATTTGTCCATGTTACATCAGCTACACCATTAGCATTTCTGGAAGTAGCCTGAAGAGGCTTGGGTGACAGAATGGAAATTGTGGGTGAGGGGGATGCATGGTCACAATGACTAAGGTGTCAATTCTGGCCGTTTAGGACAATGGTGACATTATATTCATCAACGGCACCAGCAGGAAGCAGCCTGCTGAGGAAGAGGCCGGGTTCAGTTTGAGGGACGTGAGGGGTGCCCAGGCCCACCCCTGCAGAGACGCCCAGCTGCCCATCCCTCTCGGGGCTCAGGAAGCATCTGGAGCTTCAGCACGAAGGTGGTCGGGCAGAAGCAGTGGAGCAGGGAGCTGGGGTAGCGATGCCAGCAACCCAACTGGAGCTGGACGTGCTAAGAGCTTCAGAACACGTGTCGCCTCTCCTGATTCTCAGTGCTGCCCTGCGAGCTGGTCTGTGCGTGCCCACCTCACAGATGAGGACACTGCAGGCCTGGCTGCTCCACAGCAGAGCCAGGGCTCAAACCCACGACTCGGAGGGCTTTTCCCATGAATTCTCTTCTCTTACTAGATGATTAACATATTCACAGAAGCCCAGGGAGAAAGTTAGTCTTAAGATGTCTGTGTTAGGAAGCTCCTGGGTTGGGCTCACGGCTTCCAGGGGTCTCCCACAAGGAAGAATGTTCTCTTCCTCTTCCGAAAACATAGTTTACATGTTTCCGACTTACAGTTATAGCCTGCTGAGTTCTTCCATGTGTACGAGTCTTGGAAACCAGGACGGGCCACGTGCTTTTCCCACAGCACCACCTCAACTCGCTGTATACAGTCGGTGCTCAGCAAATGCTCGGGATGAAAACACTGATCCTCACTCACCAGTCACCCGGGGGCCACTGGGACACCGGGGTGAGGCAGGGCCAAGCCCGCTGGACGAGCAGTCTCGAAAGACGCCAGCGGACAAGGGGCAGGGAGACCTGGGTGGATGGGCAGATGACCACGCAGACAGATGGTGACTGTCCTCTTCCGTGCATCTTGCCATGAAACAGTCTGTAAACGAGCGGGCCCGGGGCCAAATGCAACCCACCCACGTTTACTCTTTGGTTCACACCCGTTTTAATTTGTTACAATTTAAATTAGTTGCTAGCTTTCAAAACAATGAAAGATTTCACCTAAAAATCTGGATTTCTGAGCGTAGGCCCTTCTCAACAGGCCCACCCTTTGCAGTTCACCTCACAACACCACCCCCAGCCCCCGGCCCCCCAGCCCCCAGCGTGTCCTGGGCAGCCCCTCCAGCACTGATTGGGCCGAAGCCCTGTCAAGCCCCCCACCCCTGGGTTGGGCTGAACCCCGTCCTCACCGGCGCTCAGGGTGGTGAACTCCAGGAAGCGGTACTCATAGGACACGTCTATCTTGGTTTCCACCTGGGGCCTCTTCAACGTCGAATAGATATTTCCAGGCCGTTTGTCATCAGGTTTCTCTAACTTGTTCAATCCGCAACCCATTTCAGCAGCTGCCAGCAAAAGGAGAAAAATGGGGGGATGATTTTCTTCTTCCTGAGATGTTGTTTTTACACACCATAGTATAAACAACCCCATTATTTCCCTGAAGAACACGTGAAGGACTTGAGCCTGGCTGAAATCTAGAGCACAGTTCAACCTATGACCTTAACACTGGAGGCTCTACGCTCAGGCTGCTTTCTCTCGCTCATAAGATACCATTACCATCCAGCCTGTGCTTCTGAAATGACACCAAAAACATACTGTTTTACAGAACGAAAAGACAACCCTCAGAATGGAAGAAAATATTTGCAAACGAAGCAACTGACAAAGGATTAATCTCCAAAATATACAAGCAGCTCATGCAGCTCAATATCAAAAAAAACAAACAACCTAATCCAAAAATGGGCAGAAGACCTAAACAGACATTTCTCCAAAGAAGATATACAGATTGACAACAAACACATGAAAGGATGCTCAACATCACTAATCATTAGAGAAATGCAAATCAAAACTACAATGAGGTATCACCTCATGCCGGTCAGAAGGGTCATCATCAAAAATCTACAAAAAATAAATGCTGGAGAGGGTGTGGAGAAAAGGGAACCCTCTTGCACTGTTAGTGGGAATGTAAATTGATGGAGAACAGCATGGAGGTTCCTTAAAAAACTAAAAATAGAACTGCCATGTGACCCAACAATCCCACTACTGGGCATATACCCTGAGAAAACTGTAATTCAAAAAGAGTCATGTACCACAATGTTCACTGCAGCACTATTTACAATAACCAGGACATGGAAGCAACCTAAGTGTCCACTGACAGAAGAATGGAGAAAGAAGATGTGGCACATATATACAATGGAATACTACTCAGCCATAAAAAGAAACAAAACTGAGTTATTTGTAGTGAGGTGGATGGACCTAGAGACTGTCATACAGAGTGAAGTAAGTCAGAAAGGGAAAAAAAATACCGTATGCTAACACATATATATGGAATCAAAAAAAAAAGGTTCTGAAGAACCTAGGGGTAGGACAGGAATAAAGACACAGACGTAGAGAATGGACTTAAGGACACGTGGAGGGGGAAGGGTAAGCTGGGACGAAGTGAGAGAGCGGCATGGACAGATATACGCTACCAAATGTAAAATAGATAGCTAGTGGGAAGCAGCCGCATAGCACAGGGAGATCAGCTTGGTGCTTTGTGACCACCTAGAGGGGTGGGACAGGGAGGGTGGGAGGGAGGGAGATGCAAGAGGGAGGAGATATGGGGATATATGTATACGTATAGCTGATTCACTTTGTTATAAAGCAGAAACTAACACACCATTGTGAAGCAATTATACTCCAATAAGGATGTTAAAAAATATATACTGTTTTATATCATTTTTCTCCCCATCTGAGGAAAATAACACCTCAGAGTGTCTCAGTTCCACTATACTCTGTATACATGATTAAAAAATGGGATCTGAAAAGCAATACAAGTGCATCATGGTGTCAGCCCATCTGAAAAAAAAAATAAGAGAGATGTCGCTCCGCCGTGGTTTCTAAGAGGAGATAATAAGTTGTTATGATTTCCAAAGTCCTTTCTACCCTCAACAGTAATTATTTAGACAGGATTTTACATTCAAAAAACACCTCTCAAAGTAGATGGTGGTACTTTTACAGGCCTCGTCTAAAAAGTCCCTGTTTATTCCGTTTTAGACCAAACCACAGGAACAGAGCGG